TGTTGTCGCTGTTGTTGGTGTTGTTGTTGATGTGGTTGTTATGAATTGATGTCAATCTGAAACAGTAATATTATTTCAACCCCAAACAACCTGTATCTCATGCAATAAGATATTGTGAAGTAATCAAGGAATCAATAATCGATATGAGTAGACTGCTTCTGATCTACATCAAAGAATTGTAAAATTGTAAGGCTCTAAACAAGATGGAAGAATCCACCATGGGGGGGGGGAGCGGGTTTTGGGGAGGGGAGGGGGGAATCCCAGTGCCTGTAAAACTGTGTCTCATGATGCAATGTAATAAAATAATAATAATAAAAAAAAAAAAGGCAGGGAGCTGGAAGGGAAGCGGGGCTGCCGGGATTAGAACCGGCGCCCATATGGGATCCCGGGCGTGCAAGGTGAGGACCTTTAACCACTTGCGCCACCGCGCCGGGTACCAGCTGCTCCACTTTCTATCCAGCTCCCTGCTTGTGGCCTAGGAAAGCAGTCGAGAACGGCCCAAAGCTTTGGGCCCCTGCACCCACATGGGAGACCTGGAAGAGTACACTGCACCCTCATGGGTGACCCAGAAGAAGCTCTTGACTGCTCAGCTCCAGCTGTTGCAGCCATTGGAAGTAAACCAGCAGGCAGAAACTTTTTGTCTTTCTTCCTCTCTGTAAATCTGCGTTTCCAATAAAAGTAAATAAATCTGAAAAAAAGAAAGAAAAAAGAAAGAAAGAAAGAAAGAAAGAAAGAAAGAAAGAAAGAAAGAAAGAAAGAAAGAAAGAAAGAAAGAGAAAGAGTCACACTTCTGATACAAAGAATTAACAAAGGATCTGTAGCATGCCTCTTCTGGGAACGCGGGTGTAAGGGGGGATAGAGAGGGTGCTGTGGCTACTGCAAGTGGTGAGGCAGGCAAGGGTAGCGCCAGCAGCTGTGCCCGCAGTCCACACTGACTCAAAGCAGTGCATAACCTCACTAGCTGCTGGACAGCTGTAAGGAAAGGATGCTGACCTCGCTCGGGTCATCTCCCGGGCAGCTGAGGTTATACAAAGAGAGTGCTTGGAGATGGCAGTGTGGGGCAGTGAAAAACAGGGATGGGGTGGGCTCAAGTCCTAGCAGAGCCGCTCCAAGCTTCCTCCCATGGAGATTTTCTTCTGTTTGATTTGGTTCTCTTCCACAATCAGAAGTGGTTTTTTGTTGTTGTTGTTGTTGTTACAAAATATATGAAGAAAACACAAGTCATAATGCACGACTGATAGATTGTTCTCCAAGTGATTAAACTGCCCTGAATAAAAAAGAGATTATGTCCAGAGCTTATACACTCACTTAGCAACCTCCCACCTTCCGTCACCATAGACGGATGTGTTTGCTGGGTTTAAATTCATAAAAATTTGTTTTGAAAGGTGATCAGAGAGCCGCTATGTACTAACACGTTCTTCAAGTACCCACAACAACTGGAGTTGAAGCAAGGCCAAGGAAGGAGACTTGTCTGGTCCATGAGCAGCAGGGACCCGCCACGGAGGGTCCCATGGAAAACCTGAGCCAGCACCTACTGCCTCCCAGGGTGTGCGCTCTCAGGAAGCTGGAGGCAGGGACCCGTGGCTCAGGGCTCAGGCTCAGGGGATCGGTGGGGTCGGTGTCTGAGTGGGTGTGCTCACTGCCAGGCCAGTGTCCACCCATGAAACTTTACGTAAATGAATCACACATGAGGTGCTACATCAAACCCGTCCCAAGCGCCCTCACTGCACCTGCCAGAGACGGCATCCGTGTTACTGTGGGGGGCCCTGGCATGTTCATTTTGGGTGCAGGTCACCTACGCTTCACCCACTCCCTGTGCATATACATTTGGATGGTTTGGGGTTATTTTAGAAAGAGTTGAGGGACTGAGGTTGTGTTGCAGTGGGTCAAGCGACCCTGTGAGTGCCAAGAACAAATCAGTTACTCCCCAGCAGCTTCCTCCCCGCCCCTGTGCCGCTCCTCTCCCCCCAGGTGCTTGGTGGGATCCCCTCTGGAGAGCCAGGAGCACCTGCTGCTCAAAACTCACCCAGCACATTGTGAATGTCTGTGCCTGGTGGGGTTGGTGGTGACTCTGCAACACTGCCATGAGAGGAAAGCCATTTGTGCTTTGCACGAAGGGCCTGCTTCGTAGGTAGAAACACGTGAAATGCAAGGTCACCCCAGTCAGTGCCGCCTCACCTTGCCATCACCAGTGTCACTCACTGTCCCAGGCTGCAGGTGGAGGGAGGTGCAGGGATCCTCAAAAGATCCTGGGGTTGTTTCTCCCTTTACTTTTCTGTTGGGCAGGATTGCAAACTCTACTCTCAAACCATTCCCTCACCATCCCCAGCCTTCGTCTTCACTGCCCAGCTGCTGGTCTCTGTCCAGTTCTCAAAGTTACCTTTCCTTTCTCTGCTAGTGTGCGTGCCCAGCAGCATGGCCTAGTGGCTAAAGTTCTCTGCTAGTGTGCCAGTTTTCTCCATCACCACCATGCCGTGTCCTTCATTAGGAAGCAAATATGCTGTAAGTCCTACATATACCAGAAGCTCTTTCCAGAACCCTTGAGCTTACCACATCTACCCATGCAAACTCAGCAGCTGCCTGGTGCCTACTTGGACCACCGCTGAAAGCTGTTGTGTTGCTATGACAACCATATCCAGCCTCCTGAATCAGCAAGCTCTGAGAATGTTGGCCAGAGTCCTGGGCGCTGGTCTAGCTGACCTCCTGTGTGGTAAACAGGTGTGCTGGAAGGTCTCCACCTGTCCCAGCACGGTGACTCATGTGATGCTCATGTCGAGAGAGAAAGGTGGGCAGAGAGCTCTGTGTGTTAGCAAATAACCTCCACCTTCACTCAGCCCTCAGAACTGGCTTTTAGGCAGACATCACAGTGCCTGCCTGCCCTCAGCGTCTTCATAAGGAATCTAAGGACTCTAAAAGACACCAGCCAGATGTTGCCCCCCTTGCAAAGGCAGCTGTTAGTACATCTTCTCCTCCATGCATAGCTCCAGTCCTGGGGGGAACAGTTCCTGTGGCAACCCCCGTGGAATTCATGCCCACAGTGCTGCAGGGGACACAGGTGGGCCCATCCTGATTCAACAACCGCTTTGGAACCAAGGGTCGGGTCCCAGCCCTGGGAGAGATGACGGTTCCACACAGAGGGAGGACATGGGGAGGGAGGAGGAGGGATGGGAGGGGACCACCATCAGCATCCAAGCTGCTGGACCTGGAGGTCGCCGCTTCAGTCCAGTCCGCATCAGGGCGTCCAGATGAAACAGGAAGCATCAAACAGCAGTCGGAAGGCGGAAAAGATGGCAAAGTGACCTCTGTCAGTGGTCACATGGAACTTTAACATGGTACACAGCCCAAAGCACCCAGGGGGTAGGAGAGCCTGGGCAGCCAGGATGGCCCTGGAGTGAAAGGCAGCCCTGGACTGCCTGGGGGTTAAGTCTGCACCTCTTACTAGCTATGAATTTGGAAACTTCACTAGGTTCCCACATAGAGACTCTTGCCTTCCTCACCATTGAGCCATGAGGTGGTGAGTTAGCTGGGTGCTGGGCTTCAGGGTGTCCGAGACACAGGCCGGCTGCAAAGCCTTAGGGTCTGCAGTGGATGCGGCAAAGTGAGGCCCACTCCCTGGGAGCCATATCACATCCAGGACAGAACAGAGAGCTCCGGGCCAGCTGTGGCATCCAACTTCCCCTCTCATGGTCCTGCCCACAGCACCCTCACCTTCTTCTTCAGGTGGCCAGAAACTTCTCGACTCAGGGACATAGAAACAGACAGGTGCATCAGCTGAGTCACTCTCCAATAGCCACAACAGCCAATCTTGTGCTAGGATGAAGCCAGGAGCATGGAACTCCCTCGGCATCCCTGCAGGGGTCCAAGGCCTTGAACTGGCTTCTGCTGCTGCTTCCTCAGGTGCATTAGCAGGGAGCTGGATTCGAAGTGGAGCAAACGGGACATGGACCAGCTCTCATATGGGATTCCAGGAAGAAGAGAGAAAGCCCTTTCTTCAGCTGAGCCAGGCTGGAACCAAGGCAGAAACTCCAGGTCTCCAGGTGGGTGGCAGGGCCCCAGGCTCCTGAGTCGTGATCTGCCACCTCTAAGGACACATTCGCAGGGAGCTGCAGCGGAAGCACAGAGTAGCTGGGATCCAGACATTCTAATACGAGATGCTGGGGTCCCAGGCAGTGACTTAACCCCATGCCACAGGCTCATCCCACTTCCCTCGTTTTAAAATGTTGTTGGATATCTCCCACACCAAACTTGATTTTAATGCATAGCATTTGGGCTGAAGCTATCCCCTGCCTCTATTCACGACAAATCACTTTTGTAATATTTGAACATTATACAGACATTTTCACACACTTGCCTCTTTAGGGCCAATACAGTAGCTCAACAGACGAATCCCCTGCCTGCAACACCCACATTCCTTATGGGCATCAGTTCTAGTTTCAGCTCCTGCACTTCTGATCTAGCTCCCTGTTTATGGACTGGGAAAGCAGCAGAGGATGGCTCAAATCCGTGGACCGCTGTACCCACATGGGAGACCCAGAAAAAGCTCCTGGCTCCTGGCTTGGGGTTAGCTCAGCTCTGGCTATTGTAGCCATTAGGGAAGTGAACCAGCAGAGGAGAGATCTCTCTGTTGTCTTTCCTTCTCTCTGTAAAAAAAAAAAAAAAAAAAAAAAAAACTTTAAAAAAGACGAGCTATTCTCTTCAAAAAATTATTTGTTTGAAGGGAAGAGTTAGAGAGAGAAACTTCCCTTCCCCAAATGTCTGCCACAGCCAGAGAGGGCTATGACAAAGCCAGGAGCCAAGAGGTTTGGAAGTGGAGCAGTCAGGACTCGAACCACTGCTCATACGAGATGTCAGCATCACTGCTGATGCTTTAACCTGCCTCTATCCCTTCTCTTCTTGAGACTCCTACAAACCAATGTTGTCAGCTCTGGAGGCTTGTACCCTCTGAGAGAACTTAACCTTGCTGTATACATCATCAAGAGCAACTTGTTGAAAAAGAAAAAATACTGGCTTCAGCAGCATATATACTAAAATTGGAACAATATACGGATAAGGTTAGCATGGATCCCGCACAAAGATGACACACAAAACTCAAAAAGATGCAACATTGTGCCACAGTAGCTTGAGCCACTGCCTGTAGTACAGGAGGGTTGATTCCTAGATGCTCTGCTTCCCCTCCAGCTCCCTGCTACTGCACCTGGGACGCAGTGCAAGCTGCTCCAAATGCCCGGGCCCCTGCACCCCATGAGAGACCCAGACTGAGTTCTGGGTTCTTGGTTTGGGCCTGACCCAGCCCCAGCTGGAATGATTCTGCAATTGAAAGATCACTCTCTTTTTCTCTGTTTAAATGAAAGAATTAACTTCGAAATTGTGTTGATCTATCCGCCTCCAACGCAGTTGTGAAGTGCTTGAAGACAGAGGATATTTCAGGTTTTGCAAATGAATGTGTGACCTGGAGCAAATGCTCAATGAACACGTGTTGGTAAATCAGTGCCTCTGCTAAGAAGGAGGGAGGAAGGGGAAGCGGGGAGGGGAATTGTAGCTGGCTGCGATGTGTGTGCAGGTATAAGAGATGGGCATATAGAGACATGGAAACAACCTAACAGAGCAAGTCAAGAACTGCTACTTCTCCGTAATTCTAAGAAAAGCACAGGTCTGGATACCATGCAAACTTTCGATCCTGTTGTAACACGAGCATGGAGCACGAACTGCTCCAGGTAAGCCACTGTGGCTGACTGCTAAGAACACAGATGGCACTCCTGCCCTTTTTTAACCCATGATGAGAAGCTGAGTAATGACTTGAACAAACTTCCATGGAGAACAGGTGAGCAGTCCACAGTCCTCTGTGCCTGCTGGACGCCGGCCCTTTAAGAGGCTTAACCCATCGCTCAGCTGTGTTTTAATCACATTCCGCCCCACCCTTCCCCCCAGGAATTTACCCAGGAAAACAGCACGGGCACAGCAGCGCTGTCTGTCACCTAGGTAACAGGTTCAGCCCTGCTGGCTGGCAGAGATTGGAAACCACACCCTTTCCCATCACAAATTTCCATTTGCAGCTGGGCTCCCGGTGACCTCTCAGAAGGACGCAAAGCTAATCGGATCCTAAGCCCTTGATGAATGAGGGTGCTGGGGCGCTGCCTGTCCACCTGAGATGCTAATGACAGACCCCAGGGCCTCAGCATCTGCCGTGGAGGAGGCCCTCTCTTTGCCGGAAGGAACCGGGAAAATAAGCTTGCTTTGAAAATGGTCGGATAATGATGATGCCCTGGGGACTGCCGCTCAGGCAAGGGCCCGCGGTCTCTAACTCTAACCACTTTTCCTGGAGAGCCTGCAGTTGATCATTGAGCTTGAGGCTGACTGAGAAGAGGAGGAAGACCTGCGGCTTCCTAGGTTAGTTATCTTAATGAAAATAAAAACGTGCAAGGGAAAGGAAGTCCATCTATCCTGTGCCCTTGCTAACAGAGCTGCTCCTTTCTTGGTCCCATCGAGGCCCCAGCTGGCTCAGCGACTTCTGAGAGAGGGACAGCTGTATGCAAAGTGCAGAAGCAGGGGAGGGATGCCCGGGGAGACAGGCATCTGTGGGCGTGGATCATGGTCCAGGCTCAGATGATCAGTTTCCAGTCTTCTTCTTTTCTTTATGTCACAATCAAAACTGATACAGCTTACATGTTCTTCTATGTGCTTGGCATGTTTGAAGGGACTTTGGTCTTATATCACACATTTTTCTGCCCATGTGAGGAACTGGCATTGTCAGATGCAGAGGAGAAGCTCTGTGCGAACAACTGGCACAGCCAGGGTGCCGTGTGACTGTGTCGACAAAGGTCTCCATGCTGTCCCTCCCCACCCTGCCCAACTCACCCACACGTGTAGCCTGGGTGACAACACTGAGCCCAGCAGGAAGGGAGATGTGCAAAGCTCGTGCGAGCAGGTGCAGGGCCACGCTGAGCCTCCTCCATGTCCTCACTTGCTGTCTGACCCCAGAAGCTTCCCATCTGCCTCCATCATCTCAGGACCCCCAGCCTAGCTCCTGCTGATCATGGCTATCAAAGAGAGGGTGCCGCTGCAGGGGGAGCCATGAGTATAAGGAAGAGAGAACTGGGCTGCAGCGCTAAGGACTACTGGTTCAGGATCTCCATGGCGTTTTCTGAACATCTGCTGAGTGCCATGCTCTGTTGAGACCCAGGGACCTGTATCTGGGTCGGCCATCTGAGGGACAGTGGACAAGCACAGGGACCACAAAAGGCAGTGAGACAGACAGGGAGACAGAAAGGAAGGAGGGGTAGGAAGGACTTGCCCTCCAGAGGCGGCTCGGAGGCCATCCTGGAGGGAGGGGTGTGCCAGCCAAGTGGAGAGAGGGATCCATCCCCCAGAAGGGCTCTGGTGTAATGATGAACCAGAGGACACCGTGGCTAGGCCCTGCCATGCCGGGGGCAGTGAGGTGGGGTTCATGCAGCCCACCTGGGTGAGGGCAGTTCCCCTGTGGCTTGTTGTGAGACTTGGCATTCTGGTTGCTGATGCCTGGGGGGTAGGTGTTACTGTTGAACACTTGCTGCACGACGTGGTACTTATTGGTACCAGCCCTGGGCCTGTGCAGCCACACACATCCCCATCAAATGTTAGATCAGGACACCTAGCAACCCTGCAAACCCAAGGCAGGGCCGACTGTCTTTCCTGCCCTTGTGTGAGGCAGCCGCGTGGCTACCCGACCTTTACTGACTTTCGCAGTGAATTAGGTCTTGCCAAGCAGACAAATCATAGCACAGATCCGAGGGAGCAAATACGAGTGACTTCAAGAATGAGCCTGGGGCCCGGCGCGGTGGCGCAAGTGGTTAAAGGTCCTCGCCTTGCACGCCCGGGATCCCATATGGGCGCCGGTTCTAATCCCGGCAGCCCTGTTTCCCTTCCAGCTCCCTGCCTGTGGCCTGGGAAGGCAGTCGAGGACAGCCCAAAGCTTTGGGAACCTGCACCCACGTGGGAGACCCGGAAGAGGCTCCTGGCTTCGGATCGGCATAGTATCGGCCGTTGCGCTCACTTGGGGAGTGAATCATCGGACGGAAGATCTTCCTCTCTGTCTGTCTTCTCTGTATATCCGCCTTTCCACTGAAAAAATAATAAAAATAAATCTTTAAAAAAAAAAAAGAATGAGCCTGTATTTTAATTTGTATTTACTAGGGGGTCCAGATTAGGCAGGGGTTAGATAGGGAATCAGTGAGTGGCATGATTTTCCAGTTTCTGTCTCCGGTACCCTAACTCCACCCCCTTACATTCAATCCAACAGATGTGCTTTCCCATGAGGCACCTGAGCCTCCTCCAGGCCCTGGAGGGAGAAGATGCCGTGAAGAGCAGGTGTAAGCTGAGTTACCAGTGCGCCTGCCATAAAATTTTCCCAGAAGACCTCATGTGTCCTAAATCCCAGCAAACCTCACCCTGTTAGCATACTGAATTAGGATATCGCCCCTCCCCATAAAGGGGACCCCTGGACATGGGGCACTCCATTTTGGCCTCCTCTTACATTTTTTCTTCATGGCCTGTTCTCTCTTTCTCTGGCCCCTTTGGTACAGGGAAATGTTGCGGAGGCCAAAGACTGCCTCAGTTCTTGTCTCACATGGAAAAAGAATTTCCACGCAGACAATGCAGTGAGCAAAGCAAAGGTTAGTAAAGACAGAGACTTCCTGCCGTAGTTGTCAGGAGGGCAAGGCCAGAGGAAAGGATCAAAATGATGTCTTTTTAAAATTTATTTTTTTTTACACATTTGAATGAATTACAGAGAGAGGAAGAGAGACAGAGAATCTTCCATCCACTGATTCGCTCCTCATCTGGCCACAAAGGCCGGGGCTGAACCAAACTGAAGCCAGGAGCCTGGAGCTTCTACTGGGCCTCCCGTGTGGCAGGGTGCAAGCACTGGGGCCATCTTCCACCGCCTTCCTGGGCACGCTAGCAGGGAGCTGCATTGGAAGTGAAGCAGCCAGGACTCAAACTGGCACATATAGGGGATGCTGGCATTGCAAGAAGAGGCTTAGCATGCAACATGACAAAACAGACCCTAAGTGGTGTCTTTTAAGCACAGTTCAAGTGAGCAGAATGACAGCTGACAATCCACAAGAGGAGCGTAATAAAACCCAGCAGAAGGCCCGATAAAACAAAACCATCAGATGGGTGGAATTGCCAGCTTCTTTCTAGTCTCATGATAAAACCAGAAACTCAAAACGCTGGCATGGCACTCGTGTTTTGTTTAAGGTGCATTCCAGGAAGAAGCAAGCATCTCTGTATGCTTGCAAAGGGACTCGCCGTCCTTCTCATCCCAACAGGCGATCTGACCCTCACTGCCCATTGGTTCATCTGACTGTCCCATTCTCTTGGACAGCTTTTCCCCTCATGAGTGCCACACTCACCTGACATGTGCTCACTGACTCATTTTAAATCAGCCTGCTCTCACTGCTGCTCCTTGGTTATGCTCCTGCTTTGAATTTTTATCTCATGCGGGAACACATGCCTTGAATAAAAATGGCCAGGAAATACATTCTGACGACACACTGAGCTAGCTCAGATCCCTCCTGTGCATGTAATGGGCCTCTTCGAATCCTTTCTTTCATAGCTGATGTCAGAAGTGGGTGCTGCTACCCTAAGAACGACACCCTGAGGACACGGCAGAACCTACAGTAGGATCTGTTGATCTAGTGTGCGATTTGACTTGACCTAAAGAGGCGCGTGGTACGCTAGAGCCACGCATCAAACCAGTGGCTGACTGGGACCAGGAGCCAAGGAAAACAGTGGTGAGGAAAGGGCAGGATAGAAGAAGAAAACGGGGAAAGCGTGTGTGTGTGCTTCAATGTTTGAACTTATTTGCATTAATATTGGCTAATAAATAAGTGACAACACTGGGGAATAAACAAACAAGGTTCAGAGACTAGAGTATTTTGACAGAGAAAGAAAAAGACAGAGAACCAGAGACTGAGAAAAACTATTAAACAAATTAAGAGATTGAGGTTTTATTTTTACTGTGAACACTGTTATATTTTCTAAAAAGAAGACTTATTTTATTTATTGCAAAGGCGCAATTACATGGAGAGGGGAGAAGAAACCGAAGAGAGATTTTTCATCTGGTGATTCAC